TTGTTTTGACGCGGGGGGCGCACCAGCCTCGAGCGGGCACGCAAAAACACACACACACACACACACATAACATTTTCACGTGTTCCGCGCCGCGTTGGACTTCACCTCGTTTCTTATAAAAAGAAAACGGGGGCCCGCGGACCCCGTTATTTATCGAGGATCCGAGATGGGGGGTCGACTTTTCTTGAGCGGGCACGCACGAAACGCACTTCCCGCGCCGAATTCGACTCCACCTCGTTTTTTATTGGGAAAACAAGGGGGATCCGATGTAGGGGGTCGACTTTCCTCCAGCGGGCACGCGCGAAACGCATTTTCTTCACGCCGAATTGGACTTTCCCTAGTTTTCTATCGAGCGGAAATTCGCCGGCTCTACAAAAATTGGCACCGGGGGGGGATTCCCAACTAAAAAAAACCATGGGCCCACGCCCGTTCCGGGAATAATCCCACCACATAGATCGCGCCACATAGATTCTCCTCGGTAAAAAAATAGACTCTGCACCCCCTCCTGGCGCCCCTGGCGTTATCACTCCCCCTATTCGGGTATGTAAGCCATGTACGATTCCGACCACATGTCCATCCTAAATATGAGATCACAACGTCCCGGGCCAACCGGGCTCCCCCCCTGAGGGTCCCTTTTGTTAAATATATAAACAAACAAAAAACAAAAAATGCAGTGATATTGTTTGTTATAACATAACACTTGTTCACGAATCCCTTGCAAAAAAATGCACACGCGCGCGCCGTCGCGCGCGCATGCCGAAATCCTTCAGAAACCTTCGGTATCGGAAAGATTTCGCAATCGAGCTTCCAAAAAAAAACATACAAAAAAACATAGGGTTTTGCAACACTGATTTGCTAAAAAAGCTTCCGCGCGAGCTCTTGCGAAATCTTAAGAAAACCATAGGTCTTTCAAGATTTTCACAAAATGCTATCAAACGGGCTTCGCGCGCGCGCATGTCGAAATCTGTCGAACGCCCTTGCGCGTGTGCCGTCGCGAGAATCCTCTGCAAAAAACGGGACGAAGTGCAGACGCGCGCGTCGTCGCGCGCGTACGCCGAAATCCTTCAAAACCTATCGGTTTCGGAAGGATTTCAGAATCGCGTGTCCAAAAAAACTTCAAAAACATAAGGTTTCGTCGTTTTCATCATCATCGTCTTCCCTCCTCCCTCGTCGTTATCATCATCATCAGCGTCGCCGTCCTTCCTCCTTCTTCGTCGTTCGCGTCGTCGCCGTCCTCCCTCCTCCCTCGTCGTTGTCGTCGTTGTCGTCGTTGTCGCCGTCGTCGTCCTCCCTCCTCCCTCGTCGTCGTCTTCGTTGGCGACGTCGTCGTCGTCTTCATCGTCGTCGTCGGCGTCGGCGTCGTCGTCGTCTTCGTCGTCGTCGATGTCGGCGTCGTCGTCGTCGCTGCCGTCGTCGTCGTCGGCGTCGTTGACGTGGTCGTCGTCGTCGTCGGTGTTGTTATTGTCGTCGTCGTCGTCGGTGTTGTCATCGTCGTTGTCGTTGTCATCGTCGTCGTCGTCGTCTGCGTCGGTGTCGTCGTCGTCAGTGTCGTCGTCGTCGTTGTTGTCGTTGTCGGCGTCGTCGAAGTCGTTGGAAACGTCGTTGGTGTCGTTGTAGTCGTTTTCGGCGGCGTCGTCGTCGTCGTTGTCGCTGTCGTGGTCGGCGTCGCTGTCTTTGCCAAGTGCCATTTGGTACCCACCGTCACGGTCTTAAGAGATTTTGCAAACCAAGTTGCGGGTGGGTGGGTGGGATGCTTGCGTGAGCAGTGGAGTGGACAACTCACTGCGAACAGACCTTTCTGAAAAAAGAATAGACTCTACCCCCCCCCCCGGACTTAACGCTTCCCCCTGGGATAATATAATTTCATATATATATATATATATATTCTGCACACTCGTCCATCCTAAATATGAAATCATACCATCCCAGGCAGGCCGGTTTCCACCCCCCTGAGGGTCCCTTGTAAAAAAACACTATGCGGTGACATTTTTGCTCTAACATGCACTTTTTCACGAATCCCTTGCAAAAAATGAAACGAAGTGCACACGCGCGCGTCGTCGCGCGCGCATGCCGAAATCCGCCAGTGCCGGAAAGATTTCGCAATCGAGTTTCCAAAAAACATACAAAAACACATGGTTCCGCAACACTGATTTGCTAAAAAAACTTCCGCGCGAGCTCTTGCGAAATCTTAAGAAAACCATAGGTCTTTCAAGATTTTCACAAAATGCTACCAAACGGGCTTCGCGCGCGCGCATGTCGAAATCTGTCGAACGCCCTTGCGCGTGTGCCGTCGCGAGGATCCTCTGCAAAAAATGGGACGAAGTGCAAACGCGCGCGTGGTCGCGCGCGTACGCCGAAATCCTTCAAAACCCATCGGTTTCGGAAGGATTTCGAAATCGCGCGTCCAAAAAACCTACAAAACCCAAGGTTTCGCAACACGGATTTTCAACAAAAGCGTGCGCGCGCGCGCTCTTGCGTCGTCGTCCTCGTCGTCGTCGCCGTCCTCCCTCCTCCCGCGTCGTTGTCGTCGTCGTCGCCTACGTCGTCCTCTGTCTTTCCTCGTGTTCGTCGTCGTCGTCCTCTTTGGCGTCGTGGTCGTTTCCGTCGTCGTTGTCGCCGTGGTCGTCATTCCTCCTCCTCCCTCGTCGTCGTCGTCGTCCGTCGTCGGCGTCTCGTCGTCGTCCCTCCTATTTCGTCGCCGTCGTCGTCGTCGTCGTTGTCGCCGTCGTCGTCTTCCCTCCTCCCTCGTCTTTGCCGTCGTCGGCGTCGCCGTCCTTCCTCCTTCTTCGTCGTTCGCGTCGTCGCCGTCCTCCCTCCTCCCTCGTCGTTGTCGTCGTTGTCGCCGTTGTCGCCGTCGTCGTCCTCCCTCCTCCCTCGTCGTCGTCTTCGTTGGCGACGTCGTCGTCGTCTTCGTCGTCGTCGTCGGCGTCGGCGTCGTCGTCGTCTTCGTCGTCGTTGTCGGCGTCGTCGTCGTCGCCGCCGTCGTCGTCGTCGTCGTCGTCGTCGTCGTCGGCGTCGTTCGACGTCGTCGTCGTCGTTCGTCGTCGTCGTCGGCGTCGTCATCGTCGTCGTCGCTGTCATCGTCGTCGTCGTCGGCGTCGGCGTCGTCGTCGTCGTCGGTGTCGTCGTCGTCGTCGTCGTCGTCGTTGTCGGCGTCGTCGAAGTCGTTGGAGACGTCGTCGGTGTCGTCGTAGTCGTTGTCGGCGGCGTCGTCGTCGTCGTTGTCGCTGTCGTCGTCGGCGTCGCTGTCGTTGGCAAGTGCCATTTGGTACCCACCGTCACAGTCTTAAGAGATTTTGCAAACCAAGTTGCGGGTGGGTGGGTGGGATGTTTGCGCGAGCATTGGAGTGGTCAAGCGCGGTGCAGGGTAGTCAATTGCACAGCATAGAATGCACCACACAGAATGCACCACCTGCATTGCTCCACAGGGATTGCACCACAGATGTTGCACCACTTAGATTGCACCACTGATATTGCACCACATAGATCGCCCAACCTAGATTCTCCTCTCTCAAAACAGAATAGGATCTACCCCCCCCGGCGTTATCGGTCCCCCTTTCGGGTATGTAAATCAAATCCGCCGACCCCTTGTGGGTCTCTAGGCGTGTGAGATAGTTCCCCCCCCTACAGTCCCCCCCCCCCGGGACCCCAAACCGGCGATTTGACCCCCCCCCCCCGGGCCCGGGACGAGCGCCCCCCCCGGGCCCGGGACGAGCGCCCCCCCCGGGCCCGGGACGAGCGCCCCCCCCGGGCCCGGGACGAGCGCCGCCGGGGCTTTTCCGGGCCCCAGGAAGCCTCAAGACGGGCCAAGATGGCCCCAAGAGGCCTTCCAGACGGCCCACGGGAGCCCCGGGACGCCAAACGAGCGCTCCAAGACGCCCAAGATGGCTCAAAGACGGGCTAAGAGGCCTCCAAGACGGCCCAAGAGGTCCCCAAGAGGACCCAAGAGGCCTCCAAGATGCGTCCCACGAGGGTCCCTAGACGCAAAAATTGGCCCATTCCCTTCGTAAAACGTACATTTTTCACGAATTCGCTTTTTGGGCTTTCCGACGCTCCCAGACGGCCCAAGAGGCCCTAAAAACCGCCCCAAGACGGTCCAAGCAGCCTCCAGGGAAGCTCCAAGGCAGCCCAAGAGAGCCCCAAGACAGCCCAAGAGGCGCCCAAAATTGCCCGAGAGGGCCCCGAAGACGGCCCCAAGAGCGCTCCAGGAGCGCTTCAAGTGGCTTCCAAGAGAGCTCAATATGGTCACAGACGGTCGAACAGCGATCAAAGACACCGACGATCGCCTCCAGACGGCCCAAGACGGCCCCAAGAGGCCCCAAGAGGCCTCCAAGATGCGTCCCAGGAGGGCCCCTCGGCGCAAAAATTGGCCCGTTCCCTTCGTGAAGAAGGGGTCGGCGGATGTGGCGTAAGCCTGTAGAATAACAGTAAAGCGAAGCTGAAGCGGACCTACATCTAAGCTAAAGCTAAGCTGAAGCTAAAGCTAAATCAAAGCTGGAGCTAAGCTGAAGCTAAGCTGAAGCTAAGCTGAAGCTAAGCTAACGCGGAGCTAAAGCTAAGCTAAGCCTAAGTTGAAGCTGAAGTAAAGCGAAGCAACAGCTAAGCTGAAGCTAAGCTCAAGCTAAGGTAAAGTTAAGCTAAAGCTAAGCTGAAACTAAGCTAAAGCTAAGCTGAAGCTAAGCTAAAGCTAAGCTAAAGCTAAGCTAAAGCTAAGCTAAAGCTAAGCTAAAGCTAAGCTAAAGCTAAGTTAAAGCTAAGTTAAAGCTAAATCTAAAGCGAAAGCTAAGACTAAAGCTAGAGCTAAAGCTCCAAGGGGGCTGGGGGAACCGCGGGGCGGATACTGGGGGGGCCGCCCGGGGCGGCGTGCACTGGCCGTTCCCTATAAGAAAGAAAGTAAGAAACCTCTAGGCAGAGCCTAGGTAGGGAACGCGTGCTCCAACAAGGGAACGGGGCGAGTTGTACCTCTTGGGCGTCGGAGGCCTCAAGGAGCATCTGGAGGACCTTTTTTGGCCTTATTCAGGCCATCTTGGGCCCCCGTTGCGCGCTCTCGGGCTATCTATTTTTGGGGGGCGCCAAGGTGCACCGCGCATCAGCTTAAAAGTCCATTCAGCATTCAAGACAGCAGTCGCCAGCATTGAGAATCCCGTGGCCATTAACCGTAGCCATTCAGCACAACGACTCATCGCTTGAAAATGCGATTCGAGAGAAGAACCATGCAGCCTTACCGCAATGGGAGGCTACCAGGGCATTCGCCCTCCCTACACACGTCCACTGCGCGCCAATTCCTAGCAGCATAAAATTTGTGCGTATCATGGCGGTTACATTCAATCCTATGCAATGAAGCGGCGGACCATGCCAAATCGCCTGTCGTGAACGGCCCGGTTTTCAGGGAGAAATCCGACTTACCCCATCAATGAAAGTACCGGCCGTCAAGATGCACTCCCACACCTGCTTCGTTCATCGCACTGCACACCTTTTGCCATGCAATGTAGAGCTTCAGGTTCTCCAGAAGCTAGCCGCCTGCAACGTGAGTGCCTAGATACGCCGCAGCCCTAGCGCAAGCCAGTCTTCTGCGACCAAAGCCGACGTTCACTTAAAACGCCCCACGACTAAAGCCACGATGAACCGCAATGAAGGGCCTGATCAACCCACGAATCATAGGAAAGAGCTTCTCCGAGAGACAAGAGCAGACAAGAGCGATTGCCCCCGAGCAAACGCATGCGAGCGGTGACCCTCCGAAGATGATCAAATCTTGCATGTCAAGCTGGGAGCGCAGGCAATCCTGCCCTCCGCTCACAATCCCGATGAGTAGTTCAGTGAAACGATTTGTTACATTCTAGCCACCGGCACCAGGCAGTCCTGCCATCGGACGGGAGCTTCCAGGAGGAGGGGCATCGCGCGAGGCACTACTGCCAAATGCGCACCAGCCTCTAGCGTCCGCACGATCACTCGTGAGATGCGAGGACCTTCACCTTCAGCCTTACTCTTGGGAGATGCACGCATTCAAGCAGCAGCGTGATCCGAAGTCGTCCCCGCAACTATAGCATCGCAACTTCTGCTACCAGCTGACTGGCATAAAATGCCATCGAAGTGAAACGTGAAACCTGATCATGTAGCTAGCTAGCAGATGTTCTGGAGTCTGCTACCAAACATATTGGCTCTTAGCAGTCCGTTATCCCTGGCGTAAAATTCCGTCCTGGCGTGCCACCCCATGCCTGGTGTCATTCATTGATCAATGATCACCCTCGGGTCGAAGATCATCTTGGTGAAGATGTACGCCACGTACTCGCGGTCGCCCTTGCTTGTGAACTCGATGGTTGGGTCCTCCATGTTGCGCGTGTAGCTCGGCGCATCAGCCGGCCACTCGCGTGCTTCAAAGACACTCTGAACGGCGGGATCGCGCCCGTTAGCGATTATGCCAGCCTTGCGCGCACACGAAAACTCTGCGAAACACCAGCCACGGCAGTGGTATGGCACCTCATTCACCCAGCCCCACACGGCGCTCCTGAGGCAAGTGCGCCCCTTGACCTCGCTGTGGACACGCTCAGGCTGAGTGCCTGCGGCCTCAAAGAGCTGCCATGGCTCGATCTCTGGCAGCACCACCACGCGGCAGCCGCAGTACGAATACATGCGCGTCATCTCCCACAGTGCGAGGTAGAATCGACGCGTCTCGGCAACTGTACGCTCACGCTGTGCCAGCTGACCAGCAGACTGCGGCCGCGCGCGCTGGTCGAGGCTGCAAAAGTCGAGGAATATACCGTCATCGTCGCTCGCGCCCTCATCCATGTCAATGGCCTCCAGCAGCCGTCGCAGCGTCAAGCCGCTCGGACTTGGGTGATGTTCCGTCGCCCAGCCGTGCGAGACGACGTACATGCGGCGTGATTCTGGTGGCAAGCCCACGTAGAATGTGCCGCGGGGAAGCTCCTGACGCCTCGGGAACGTGCGCCCGCCGCTCATGTTGGTGAGCGCGACAAACCGTCGCACGTAGCTGACCTTGACCCACGCGATTTCCGCAGCCACGCAGAAGGAGCGGAAGCCGCGGTGGTCATCGTATACAGGCAGCATCGAGCCGAACGCCCGGCGCATATTTGGCAGAATGATGTTGTCGATCTCGCTCGCAATCGCGATCTTGAGCCGCTGACTACGCACACCCTCGCGGATCGCGCCGACTGGGTCGGTCAGCGAGTCGGGGGTGATCATTGATTTGACGATGGGGTGCGACGAGTTGACGACGCGCTGGCAGTACGCGGCGAGCATCAATTCGTACGTAGCCCATGCCGAACTTGCTATCTCAGGGTAGGGTCGAGTTGCGCCATCTGAGTAGGGAGGCACGCGGTGCAGCACAATGGTGCGGATTGGCGCGTACGTTACAAGGAAGACCGTCCGCGAGTAGTACACGTCATTGCGCCGATGCTCTTCCGGCGTGCGCTCATCGACGAGTGAGTGATCGAAGGCAATGAGCTTTTTATCCTCAGTGCGTTGGCGAGGCACCGCACACCAGTCGATGTGCACCAAGTCGGCACCATCCGCATCTGTGAGAAGCTCGACCAAGTCTTTGAGATGCTCACCGCATGGATCGGGATGCTTGAATCCCAGATACCGATGGACGACATGGAAGAGCTCGACCCCATTTGGCGGAGCCCCCACATGCACACCGGACGGCGAGCAGTCTTGGCATCCAGGCAAGAGCTGACGTGTGCCGTGAAGTTGCCGCACGTATTCGACGCTCAGCCACTGCAAGCGGCAATCGTCCGCCCACTCGTTGAAGCCGTCGTGGTCCCACCGCGGGTCGTGCTGCTCGAGCTCAGGTGATTGCTCGTCCTCGAAGTCTGGAGCAGGATCCAGTATCGCTGGAGCAGGATCCGGTATCGCGGGACGGCTTGCGCACCCTCCCATCGATGCGACTATCTCTCACAAGTGCTATCGATACCCTGAGCCCAAATGGCTTGAGCCAACATGGCTACGGAGGCGCTCTCGGGCTGTCTTGGGGCCATCTTTGGCCTCCCTGAGGCCGCTGTGGAGGTAATTCGATTGGGCGCCCTTGGGGCTGTCTTGGGCTGTCTTGGGGCCGTCTGAGGTGCTCTTGGGGCTGCCTCGGGCCGCCTAGGGCCGAACATGGCCGAAAATTGTGCCATTAGATCTGCGCCCGCATTGGCCAACACCCTCACACTCCCCCTTATTGTTTCTCCAGGCTAACGGATGGCGACGCTACGCGAGCTTTCCTTCATCCGCCGCCCCCAGCTGGTTTGCCACAGGGATGCACAGCGGGCCAGACGTGTGGCAGGCTTTTGGTTCTGGTCTCAAGAGCTCCCCGTGAGGCTTCGGCCCAGCCCGCCCGCTGCCACTCCCGTTGGTTGTTTCGCTCAAGATGGCCATACGATTGCCTCAAGATGGCCTCCAAGACTGCCACGATGCCTCCAAGACTGCCACGACGGCCCCAAAAGAGCCCAAGATAGCTCCAAGATGGCCTCCAAGACGGTCAGAAGATGCCTCGAAGACCACCAAGATGGTCCAAGAGAGCTCAAGACGGGCCTTTAAGACAACCCACAAGAATGGTCCTCCAAGAGGTCCTCCACGAAGGCCCGAAGAAGCCCACAAATCATTAACTTCCTGAATTGTTTTGAAGGATTGGGGCATTTGCTTGCTTCACAACTGCCTTCCGACGGCCAAAGAAGGCTGTGCTTCGAAACTGCCTCCCGACGGCCCAAGACGGCCCAAGAGGACCCCCAGATTGCCCCAAGATTTCTCAAGAGGCATCCAAGATGGCCCCAGAACGGCCCAAGAGGCTCCCAAGACGGCCTCCAAAGGACCACCCCAAGACGACCAAAGAGGCGTCCAAGACGCCCAAGATGGCCTTCAAAACGACCCTGAATCGCCCCAAGAGGGCCCCAAAACAGACCAGAGAAGCTCCCAAGACTGCTTCCGATTGCGTCAGACGGGCCAGGAACGCCGTAACATGGCCCAACAGAAGCCCCCAAGAAGCCCCCAAAGGCTCCAAAGAAGCCCAAGCAGGCCTCCAAGAAGCCTCCAAGAAACCCCCAGGAAGCCCCAAGGAGGTCCAAAGAATGACCCACAAAGCTTCCAACATGTCTCCTCCTCCTTCTCCTCACCCTCCATGTTCCTCCCTCTCATCATACTCCCTTTCCTTCCCCCCGTGTTCCCCGAGGGGCTCTTACAACGGCCAGGGGCACGCATGGTCCAATGTGGCCAAATTCCCACCAGCCCTTTGGGCGTGAGTGGTTTAGAGAGCTCTCTCTGTTCTCAACCCCCCATCTTCCCCTTCGGGGAGGGGTTTACCCCTCCCCCTACCCCCTACCCCTGGACCTGGACAGGGAGTCCGGGGCGTAGTCAGGGGGGTCTTTTTTGACTCCTGGGAGGGCCAAAAAACGACGACCCTCACGAGGATTCTGGCCCCGCCGGGGGGATACAGTTTGGCCCCTCTGCTCTTCTTGGAAGCCATAATCGTTGATTGTACTACGGTTTTGGCCCCATTTTGGCGTCCTGAGGGGGCCGCGCTCATCTTCCTTCATAGCAAAATTATTGTTTTTACGACGGTTTTGGGCTCATTTTGTTGTTTTCAGGGGGCAGCTCTCACTTGCGCTTCCGAGGAGGTCCCACGAAGCCCCAAGATGGCCCCAAGAGGCTCCCAGGAGGCTCCCAAGAGGCCTCCAAGAGGCCCCCCAGAGGCCCCCCAGCGGTCCCCAGAGGCCCCCAAGAGGCCCCCAAGAGGCTCCCAAGAGGCCTCCAGAGGCCCCAAGAGGCCCGCCAGAGGCTCCTAAGAGGCCCCCAAGAGGCCCCAAGAGGCCCCAAGAAGCCCCCAAGAGGCCCCACGAGGAGCCCGAACGATTCACACCAGGCCGAGGGGCCCGAACGACTCACACCACGATTAGCCCGAACGACTGCTACTGCTACTGCTACTGGTACTGTTACTGCTCGAACGACTCACACCAGGACGAGGGGCCCGAACGACTCACACCACGATTAGCTCGAACGACTGCTACTGCTACTCCTACTGGTATTGCTACTGCTAGTGCTATTCCTCGTACCGCTTCTCGTACTACCACTACCACTACTCGTACTACTACTGCTACTACTACTACTACTACTACTACTACTACTACTACTTGTACGAGTACTATAAGTGGTATTGTCACTGGTACTACGACGATTCCTACTTCTACTATATCTAGAGTTACTACTACTACACCTCGAACTACTCATGTCACCACTCCATCTACTACACCTACACCTGATACTACTACTATGACTACGACTATTACTACTACTCATACTGCTACTCCTCCTACTACGACACAAACTACTACTACTACTACTACTACTACTACTACTACTACTACTACTACTACTACTACTACTACTACTACTACTACTGCTAGAAATACTACTACTACTACTACTACTACTACTACTACTACTACTACTACTACTACTACTACTACTACTACTACTACTACTACTACTACTACTACTACTACTACTACTACTACTACTACTACTACTACTACTACTACTACTACTACTACTACTACTACTACTACTACTACTACTACTACTACTACTACTACTACTACTACTACTACTACTACTACTACTACTACTACTACTACTACTACTACTACTACTACTACTACTACTACTACTACTACTACTACTACTACTACTACTACTACTACTACTACTACTACTACTACTACCACTACTACTACTACTACTCCTACTACTACTATTCTTACTACTACTACAATACAACTACCACTACTACTACCACCACTACTACTCTAGCGAAGCATGCCGACCGTCCCCCAAGCCACCCAAGACGCTCCTAGAAGCTCTTGGGGCCGCCAAGAGGCCCCCAACGAGGGGCCCCAACGACTCACACCACGAGGAGCCCGAACGACTCACACACAAGGAGGGGCCCGAGCGACTCACACCAGGACGAGCGGCCCCAACGACTCACACCACGAGGAGCCCCAACGACTCACACGCAAGGAGGCGCCCCAACGACTCACACCAGGACGAGGGGCCCGAACGACTCACACCACGAGGAGCCCGAACGACTCACACACAAGGAGGCGCCCGAACGACTCACACACAATGAGGGGCCCGAAAGACTCACACAAGGAAGGACGAGGGGCCCCAACGACTCACACCACGAGGAGCCGCAACGACTCACATATCTGCAACCCAAAGGGAACCGAACTCTTGCATTATCTCTTGAGGCCCTCCCGTGGCACTGTAAACCTGCACGATTAGGGGAGGCCATTTTCCTGCTTTGGTTTTTTTTCCTTTCTTTGATGGGCAAGGGCGGGCGCAGTTCAGCCAGCACGTTCCGTAACGCACGACGCGCCTACTGCGCACGAGCGCGGTAGACGACGCATCGGAGGTTCGACTTCCAGGCCTGGCGAGGGCCCCATCGACCTCCAAAGAAAAAATCGCCTGACCTCTCACCCCCTTGGCATCGAGGGGACAGGTTCGAACTCTGTACGTGTCTTCATGTTTTTTGTAGTTGTGTATGTGTGTGTGTGTGTGTGTGTGTGCGTGTGTGTGTGTGTGTGTGTGTGTGTGTGTGTGTGTGTGTGTGTGTGTGTGTGTGTGTGTGTGTGTGTGGTGTGTGTTTGTGTGTGTGTGTGTGTGTGTGTGTGTGGTGTGTGTGTGTGTGTGTGTGTGTGTGTGTGTGTGTGTGTGTTGTGGTGTGTGTGTGTGTGTTGTGTGTGTGTGTGTGTGTGTGTGTGTGTGTGTGTGTGTGGGTGGTGTGTGTGTGTGTGTGGTGTGTGTGTGTGTGTGTGTGTGTGTGTGTGTGTGTGTGTGTGTGTGTGTGTGTGTGTGTGTGTGTGTGTGTGTGTGTGTGTGTGTGTGTGTGTGTGTGTGTGTGTGTGTGTGTGTGTGTGTGTGTGTGTGTGTGTGTGTGTGTGTGTGTGTGTGTGTGTGTGTGTGTGTGTGTGTGTGTGTGTGTGTGTGTGTGTGTGTGTGTGTGTGTGTGTGTGTGTGTGTGTGTGTGTGTGTGTGTGTGTGTGTGTGTGTGTGTGTTTTGCGTGTGTGCTTTGCATATATGTGCGCGCATGCGTTTCAGGGACAGGGTGCCCGAATTTCGCAAGGGGGCGAGATCGTGCAAATAAAAGCTCGACAGTGGCGCGTGTCTGGGGCATCCCGCGGCGGCAACCGCGCCTGCATGTCCTCGGGCGTTAGCCGCAATAACGCTGCTGCCACGAGGGCGGGGCCAATGGGGCAAGGAGTGAAACATGCATCGCAACAACAAGTGGCGAGCCCGTAAGCGCGATGGCCGATATAATCTAATTCAAGTTTCGGCCCCATGTAGGCCTTCGGAGGGGGCAGCGCTCCTCTTCCTTCCTAGCAAAATCATTGATTTAACGAAGGTGTTGGGCTCATTCTGTCCCTCCCAGGGGGCAGCGCTCACTCGCGCTTCTGAGGAGGTCGCAAGAGGCCCCAAGCTGGCCCCAAGAGGCCCCCAGGAGGCGCCCGAGAGGCCTCCACGAGGCCCCCAAGAGGCCCCCAAGAGGCCCCAAGAGCCCCCCAAGAAACCCCCAAGAGGCCCCCAAGAGGCTCCCAGACGCCCCAAGAGGCCCCCAAGAGGCCCCCAAGAGACTCCCAAGAGGCCCCTAAGAGGCCCCAAGAGCCTCCAAGAGGCCCCACGAGGAGCCCGAACGACTCACCCCAGGACGAGGGGCCCCAACGACTAACACCACGAGGAGCGCCCGAACGACTCACCCCAGGACGAGGGGCCCCAACGACTCACACCACGAGGAGCCCGAACGACTCACACACAAGGAGGGGCCCGAGCGACTCACACCAGGACGAGCGGCCCGAACGACTCACACCACGAGGAGCCCGAACGACTCACACGCAAGGAGGCGCCCGCACGACTCACACCAGGACGAGGGGCCCGAACGACTCACACCACGAGGAGCCCGAACGACTCACAC